GAGGGAGCTTATAAAAAAAAAAGGAAACTAACGATCATAAAAACGTCACCCCATATATATTCTGTGCTTGTGTGAAGCGCTAGGGATGAGGATACTTCTGGTCTTAGGAACTATTTTAACAGCACAAAATGGATTGAAACAGGAATTCAAAACAACCTCTGGAGGAAAATTTGGCAGAACTTACTACAGAAAAAAAAAATTGATGTGGCAGTTCTGCTTTTATGGAAACGAGCTCCAAGTCCATGGGTAGTGAGGTCACTGAATCCGTCACAACAGTGAGAGCAGATTGTGCGCTGCTGAAGACAGTGGAGGGCCATGGAAACGTTGAGTTTGTTTTTAGTATTTTGATAGAATCACGGTTACAGTGGTTTCAGAGTATTTGGAATTGTTTCTAACACATATCCTTGGAATGAAAGAAAGCAAGATGAAAAGTAAAGTTTTGGCCAGACACGATAGCTCAGGGCTATAATCCTAGCATCTGGGAAGCCGACGCAGGAGGATTGCTGTGAGCTCAAGGCCAGCCTGGGCTACATAGTAAGTTATAGCCCAGCCTGGTCCAAAACACGAGGCCATATCTAAAAAAGAAGAGGGTCAGTAAGATGGCCTAGTGGGCAAAAGGGCTTGCTGAACAAGCCTAACTATTTGAGTTCAGTCCCTAGAACCCATAGTGGAAGAAAACTGACTTCCAAAGTTGTACTCTGATCTCCACATGTATACTGTGACACCTGTGTACACACACACACACACACACACACACACACACACACACAAATAAAATAGGATGAAGAGATAGCTCAGCAGTTAAGAGCATTGGCTGCTCTTGCAAAGGACCAGTATTCAGTTCCTACCATCCTCATTGCAGCTAACATCAGTAACTCCAGTTCTAGAGGATCCATCTTCTCTGGCCTCCTCAGGCTTGGATGACATGGGTGCATTTACATGCTGGCAGAACACACATACACATAAAATAAAAAAAAATAATAATAAAATTAAAAATTTTTAAAGAAAGTAAAGAAAATTTTGTTTACCTTTTTTTCATAGAGAAAAGGCAGAGCAGAAGAAAATTTTGTATATCACACAGACTGTCTCTGGAAAGACCCAAGACATTTCTTGCTTGGGGAGGGTATCTGGGATTGGGTGAAGAGACGCAGCTTGCATCTGTTTCTACATTTTGAGTTTTATTCTACATGCACTCATAATCCAAAGCCTAAATAATTTATGGTCTGGGGGTGCAGTTCAGTGGTAGAACACTTGCTTAGTATGCAGAATGCCCCACGTCTCCTCACCAGCACTAACATCATCATCATCATCATCATCATCGTAATAATAATTTCAAAACAGCGTGATTTCACTATAGAAAATTGAGAAAGTAAGCCAAATACAGTGATGCATTCCTATAGTCAGCAGTTGGGAAGTAGAGGCAGGAGGATCAGGAGTTTAAGGCAAGCCTAGGCTACATAGTGAGTTCAAGCCAGCCTGGGCTACATGAGACTGTCTCAGAAAAGGTAGAGAAAACAAAATATTTTTAAATCATTCATAATTTAAATATTAATATATATGATTTTATTTCACTTAATAGTATTGATGAACATTTCCCCATATCTTTTTGTTTGTTGAGACAGGATCTTGCTATGTAGCCCAGGCTGGCCTGGAGCTGAGAGCATTCTGCCACAGCCTCCCTAGTATCTGGAATTGTCGCCCTATACCACCACAGGGTGAAGAAAAATGAACTTGGGTACTTGTGTGTTAAATAGGAATGCTCCCCAGACCTGTGTTTGGAATGGTTGTTGCTCCCTGAGGAATGGGGATGGATGTTTTCCAGGACTGGGTTTGGGCTTAACAGAGTTCTTTCTCTGTGCTGGCAGCATCAGCTTTCTGCCTGGACAGATCATAAGGTCAGACAGCAAGGGCAAGGTCAGAACCCCAGGGAGTCTGCTCATGGCAAGGCTGGCATTTCGGCTGAGTAGGTAACACCATCTCATGGTGTCAGATACAAAGGTAGACAAGAACAGCAGTGCAGCACTGGGAGTGGGGTGGGGGTGAGGGTGAGGGTGGGAATTGGGGGTGAGGGTGGGGGTGGGAGTGGGCAGAGCCTGGCCCTGCAGTCCTCAGTCACTGTCATCCCCATAGACTGGTTAGAAGGGAAAGGATGAGTGGGCAGAGGGATGAGAAGAAATGTAATCCAGGTAGTATTTACAGAGCTCCTCTCATTAGCAGGTGCTGAGTGGAGCATCTTGGAGGGAGCATCAGGGTGTGTTGGCTCAGCTGCTGAGATTAAGCCTTTCAGTCTGCTAGAGCGAAAATCTCACAAATCCCTATTTTCATGGAACTAATGTTCTAACTGGAGGAAGAGAACAGGCTGTGGTAGATGGTGTGGCCTGCCCAGGGTCTGACCCTTCCCATGGGCAGCTAGTGTCATGTGGAGGAAAAGTCCAAGTCTAGGAGCCAGATGGATCTGACTGAATCTTTCCAAGTCAGGGTTATAAAGTTGCACACATGGCTTAATGGGTGGGGCCACTGAGGAAGTGATGGATGTAAACACAAGTATACTCTGCACTGCTCCACTGGCATTGATGGAATCTATAAGTATAGATAACAGTGGCTGTCACTGAAACAGGCCTGAGGAAGGAATTCCATCAGCTGAGGCAGAGCTGGAAAAGCAGCTAAGAAAGATAGGCGGGGTGCGCCATCTTCTGGATGCAAGGAGGATTGCCTTACTCAGAATTTTGCTTCCACCTTCATTTTACTGGTGGGGAAACAGGCCCAGAAGAGGGGTCTTGAAAGTTCCAATGAGTAGGCTGTAAAACATGTGTAATGTGATCCCTAAATATTTTTAAGGTTTATCTTTAATTATGTGTATGTGTGCATGTTTGTGTGTGGATATGTGCACATGATGGCAGATGCCCACAGAGGCCAGAATCCCCTGGAACTGGAGTTACAGGTGGTTGTGAGTGGCCCAGTGTGGGGACTGGGAACCAAACTCTGGTCCTCTGCAAGAGCAATACCCACTCTTAACTGCTAAGCCATCTCTAGCCCACCCCCAAATAATTATTTTGTCTCTATTTTATCTCCATAGTTCTCTTTTCTCTCTAGACTGTGTTGTCGACACCTGAGATGATTCCTAGTTTATTTTTATTTTTTGGAAGATTTATTATTTTTAATATGTGTATATGTGGGTATATGTACATATGTGCAAGTGCCTAAGGAGGCCAGAAGCATCAGATACCCTGGAGCTGAAGTTACAAGGTTACATGGGTGCTGGAAACCACACTCAGGTTCTCTGCAAGAATAATACAGCCTCTTCCATGTGTCCTACATCTGTCATTGGAGGGCTCATGGGAAACTAGAAGCCAGCCAGGCCAGTTAACCAGAGCGCTTGCTTTCCACCTTTCTGTTCCCAGATGCTCCTCCTGTTGCTCTCCATTTCGGCAGCCACACCTGTGTCCACCTCCTGGCTCATTTCAGAAAACAAAATTCACTTGTCAGCCAGACACTCAGTCCAGCTGGTTTGTTCACGTTATCTCCTTGCTTCCTGCTGCCTTCTTACTCCTGACCTCCCTAGGAGCCTCCTCCCATCTAGGCTCTGTTCTATCTAGACATCTGAACTGTCTTTGAAAAGACACAGCTGGTTGTTCATGACCTGGTCTTAAAGTCCTTCAGGAGGTGATCTGGCTCTGTCCACCATTTGCAGTGCCTGCAGCATCACTATCCCCTCTTGCAGACATTTTGTTGTTTTGAGACAAGGTCTCCCTGTAGCCCCAGCTGGCCTGGAACTTGCTATGTAGACCAGGCTTTCTCACAGAGATCCACCTGTCTCTGCCTCCCAAGTGCTGGGATTAAAGGCGTGTACCACCATTCCCGGCCCACGGTGTGTACCACCACACCCAGCTGCAGGTGCTTTTTACTCTTCCAATCTATCCCATCTTTCATCAGATCCTTCACCCGTGTTGTTCCTTTTCCTGTAATGCTCTTTCCCTCCCCCTTGTTCTTAAAAAAATTTATTTCTTTTGAGACAGAGTCTCATTTTATAGCCCAGAATTTGCTATGTAACTGCATAGCTCAGGTTGGTATCAAACTCAAACTCAAAGCAATCCTCTTGCCTCAGCCTTGAGTGCTGAGATCACAGATGTGAGCCATCATGCCCAGCTTCTCCTCACTGTCATTCTTGGATCTTGATTGATATGTTGCTTCCTGAGTACCAGCCTTGGTCAGATCTGGCCATCACTCTAGCTCCCTGCATACTCCCTTGAAGCCCTGAACATGTGGTCACAACCTAGCACATGGTAGTTTGATGCCACCTTCAGTGGATTGTAAACTCTGTGAGGATGGTGACAGTGCTGGCTTGTTCATTGCTGCACCTGTAGCCCCTAGCTGGTGCCTGGCACGGGGTATGGTACACATGGAAATGCTGATAACTTTGCTTTGAATAAAGACTGAATGAGTGTTTTCTCTTAGTTTCTTACATTTATTTATTTATTTATTTATTTATTTATTTATTTATTTATTTAGTGTGTGTGTGTGTGTGTGTGTGTGTGTGTGTACGTACACTCACATGCCATGGCAAACATGTGGAGAGGACAACTTGGGGGAATCAGTGTTTTCCTTCCATCATGTAGGTTCTGGGGATTGAACGCAGGTCATCAGGTTTGGCAGCAAGTGCCTTTACTTGCTGAGCTCTCTCCCTGATCTGAACACATCTTCTTTAAGATTGTGGTTGTCCAGCAGGGGACTCACAGTGACTTTTTTTTTTCTTTTTGGTCTTTTTGAGCTGTAGCCCCAGATGGTCTGGAACTCTCTAGGTAGACCAGGCTGGCCTGGAACTCACAGAGATCTGCCTGCCTCTGCCTCCCGAGTGCTGGGATTAAAGGTATGTGCCACCACGCCTGGCCCACAGTGACTTTTTTTCTGTGCTTTCTACTCTATCCTCAGTGAAAGAGGCAGCAACTGCCATTTTGTCACATTGGTGCCTCATTTTTGCCCTCCCGTCCCTGTTCCCACAGGCCTGAGGAGCGATGCGACAGGCATGATGGAGGTTGAGTCCTCCTACTCAGACTTTATCTCCTGTGACCGGACAGGCCGTCGGAATGCAGTCCCTGACATCCAGGGTGACTCAGAGGCCGTGAGTGTGCGGAAGCTGGCTGGAGACATGGGCGAGCTGGCACTTGAGGGCGCAGGTCAGAGCCCGTGTCCCCAGCATACTGGTGGGCAGAGGGGGGTGTCTGCCAGCTCCAGCTGGCCTCTTAAGTCCTATGCTGCCCACACTTCCTCAGAGAGTTAGTAGCTTATAAATTAGGCCTGTCTCTTGGTCAGTGGCAGAATCTAGCCAATTTCTAGGGTGGAGAGTGCCAGCATCTCAGTCCTGCATCTTTCCACCCCCACAGCCACCATCTGCCCTCCAGCTACTCATTGGTGGTCCCTGTCCTTATGCCCACTGGCACCCCTGCCCTCCTTGAACAGCATCCTTCCCTAAACTGCCTGATGCCATGTTAGAGCCAAGCCGCTCTTCATTGCTCCCCAGCAGTTGTGCCCAGCTGGTGCCCTGCTTGGCTTTAGGTCCTGCCCATGCCACGTTACCCCCTGCCTTCCTGCACACATGTATCTTTGCTTCTCAGTCAAGGTGCAGAGCTCCCTTGTCAAAGTCTTTTACTTCAGTGTGGCCTCTGCTTAGAACTTCTCTCAGTGGTGCTAGGGCTGCTCACTGTTCCCTAACTCTCGGACCCTGCTTAGCAGATGCTCCGAGGCCTCCTCTGAGAGCTAACAGGCTGCCCTGGTCATGTCGCTCTTAGACAAGGTCTCATTTGTTTGATTCAGCTCTGGGAGTTCTGGGAGAGACGGGCCTCTATTGTGCCTGCATGTGGCAGGTGGCTGATGACCAGGCTGAATGGTCTAATGAAGAATTTGAGAGGAACCACCCAGTATTGCTTGGAATCCTGCTCCCCACTTCTCTCTCTCTGCCCCACCCCCACCCCCAGAGGACCCTGCTTGGCTCAGACAGACCCTTTTTTGGGAAGCCTCCCTGCTGCATGGCACCCCAGGGCCATGTTTGCCACTTCTTACAGCACCCAGTGGCTTCCTGCTGTTAGACCAGGAGCAGTCCTTGCAGAACCACAACCTTGTCTTTATCCAGTTAGCCTCAGTCCAGTATTCTTGGTCCATGCTGCCCAGAAGTGACCCAGGAGGACAGAACAGAGATGACTTTGAGGACAGTGACCCAACCTCTTATGGGATAGATCAACTGAGGCCCAGAGAGGTTGAGTGACTTGCTAGGGTCACCTAGCAAATTACCATAGTTGGTATGATAGTCTCTATGCCTGGAGAGAGCACCTTGCCCACTGCGCTTAGAACCTTACCCAGACCTGTTGGAGGGCGCTGGCCGCCCTTGTGCTGGCCTCTACTTCTTACTCAGCTGACGCCTCCATGGTGCTCACTCTGATCCCTCTGCAGCCTCAACTCTCATTCCTCCCTTCCTGCCCTTTCTTCCAGCTGGAGTAAAGTTATGCAGGCTCTCCAAAGCCCTAATGGGCTTCATTGCCAACTCGCTGGTCCCCATCTGCCTCTCATTTTGGAGGTGCCTTTTGTTTGAGGCCTTCTCTGGCTCAGCCCCTCTCAAGCAGAGGGTACCCCTTTCTCCTGCTGCTTCCATGGCCCTCTAAGCACAGCACCCCTCTAGACAGCTGTTCCAGCACAGGGGTCTCATGCCCTCTGTGACTGGCAGTGTTTGGCACATGACAGGTACCCACTCAGTGACTGCTCACTGCCCAGGAAAATAAGCAGTATATCCAGCTGGCATACCAGCACACTGCTAGGGCCTGCCTCAGGCTTCTGTGTCGTCCTCAGCTCTAATAAGCCTTGTTTGGTGCCCACCCACCTCCTCCTCAGCCATTGTAACTACTGGTCCCCTCATGCAGGCCCTTCTAATGCTGTTTGCCCTGACTCAGAACCCTAATGGTAGTGGAGCCTCCCAGTGCATGATGCTTGCTTGCAAGGTGACTGATGTCTAAGGAGACATGAGGACAGGACAGTGCTCACTGCCAGAAATTGGAGCGTGTTTGGTAGAGTTCAGGCAAGGTGACCAGCTGAGAAGCCTTCTGGAAGGCCTTAAATAAGCAGTGTCCCCAGGTTGGTCTGAGCCAGGCTCAGTCCAGCAGATGCACTGAAGCAGAAGACAGAGCCTCTCCTGAGGCTCTGAGGTACCTCTCCTGACGTTCTGGCTGCCAGCCTCTCCAAGCCCGTGGCCTGCCTGGATGTGTCAGCATTCCCCAGCATGCTGGGCACAATCTTTGCCCCTGGTGTCTTTTTACACCAGGAGCATAGATGTTGCTTTACTTTGCCTAATAACAAGAGAAGCCACAGGCCAGGCACGGAAAGTGGGATGCACTGCCCCCTTTCCAGGCAACGTATTTTCTCCTCCCTAGAGCTGGTTCCTAGGGAGTTCCAAGGTGCTGGTGGGAAAAGACCTTCTCTCCAGCCAAGGGAGAGCTGAGGCTAGCACAGAGGAAATGGGATTGTTACCGGACTTAGGTCACAGCCTGTGCCCCTCCCCCGAAAGCCAGGTTCTGCCACTTGTCCTCAATAAGCCAAATAAAAGAGCAGCTTAATAGTGAAAAGCAGAAAAGGGGATTTATTTTCTGTGTCCACATTGGGAAAAGGAACCAAAAGATCCAGTGACCCACCCCACCCCATCAGTCTTCCAGGTCTGCCATGAGGTGGAGGTTTAAGTTGAGGGTCAGAGTTGTGCACATCTACATGGGCTTGGTCAGGGTGTGGTCAGGCCCATCAGTGACCCTTCATTGCTTAGGCTCCATTCTTCTGCAAGGTGATCTGACAAGTTGCAAATCTCTTTCGGGAGAAAAGTTTCTCCTCTGGCTGGCCAGGCTTTAGGCCACCTCTTGTCTCAGCATGAGCCTCCTGGGGGCATTCAAGTGTCTTGGCCCTTTGTTTCAATAGTCTGGTGGCCAAAGTGAGAGATACAGTGTCTCTCTAGGTTATTTCATCCCTGCCATGGCAGTCACATGATTGTGTGCCTAATCATTCCCACGTGCCAGGTGACCTGTGGTCTACACCTCAGTGGGCAGAGGTATCAGCATCCTGCTTTACAGGTCAGGGGCTGGGCCCAGGTCAGCACATACTTGAGCCACAATGCCAAGTTCTGCCACCCTATTTACTACCCCAAGTGCCTGGGGGACATAGGAGACTGACCTGCCATCCAGCCTCTCTAAATGCCAGAGAATGCTGCTGAGTGGAAGAAGTTAGGCTGGGCAACAAGCAGGCTTTCTCCACCCCTTGACACAGGCATATCAGCTTGCTCTGAGCCTCTTTTCCTCATGTGTACATGACCCTAACCACACTTCCAGGTTGCTGTGGGGATTATATGATGAAATACCTGCAGTGGGCAGACCCAGAGCTCAGTACTAGCATAAAGATGGAGGCCAGATGGTGGCGCTTTGCCCACAGCCAGGCCCTATGGGGTGTCTTGCCTCTCAGGTATTGAGGCTGGGAGGGTTGAGGGCTGGGCACACACTGGCGGCTCTGCTCTTCCGGTACTGCTGTCAAGTGGCGATGGTAGAACTGCTGGTCCCACCTTCCATGGGTTTTGAGAGAAGCTGGGACTGAGAAGACCCCGCTCACACCCCACCCCATAGGGCAGGCCGCTCTCTGAACCTGATGCTCACCCTCATCCCAAACCAGCCTAGGTTTCTGGCTAGCTGGATGCTGCCAGTAACATGTTAGATCAGGCCACCTATCTATGTAACTTCACCCAGGAACCCGGGATGTCCAGGCCATGGTGGGCTCTCCTGAGCTGGTCTGGTTGTATCCAGTGCTGTTTTCTAAGAAAACACCCATTTGCCAAGCACCTACTTCCCACTGGGGACTCCATATTCACACCCTGTCCCCTTGGAACTGCATAAATACAGTGACCTCAGCAGCCCTTCACCTCTTGTTTATGCCTGTCCATAATCTGCCCTGCCTGCCTTTCCATGGGAGTGAGGCGTGAGCAAGCATCTCACTGGTCTTGGTCACCACTACCCCTAATCCAGCCCCTGGCCTGCTCACGGTCAGTTTGGCTGGTCTTTCCAGACTCCTCTGTGCTCACTCCTCCTCTTCCTCCCCAGAAGGACAGGCGGAAGGAAGTCCCACAGACAAGAAGGCCAGCAACCAGCCTGAGAGCAGTGATGGGAGCACCTCATCTTGAGTCTGACCTTGGTCCCAGAGGCTGGACGAGAGACCTACTGGCTCCTCCCAGAACCAGAGCCCTGGCACTAGCCCAGCAGCCTCTTCTGAGCCCATGTCCCAAGCCACCCAGGCCTACCTGAGAGGCCTCCCAGAAGCCTCTGTGGCCCCTCCTCCGGGAAAGCCCTCTGCCACACTCACAGGCTCCACCTTTCTGCCACCCACTGTGCCCAGGTACACTTTGAAGACACTGTCACCTAGGTATGTTATTTATTTAGCTGGGTGGGGCTTGAGCCAGGCCCTGCCTACCAGGTGAGTAGCCCCCACCTGGACTGGGACTGAGTCCCAGTACTCTCCCAGTGGTTCTTTCAAACAGCCTTCTCAGTTGGAAAGTTCTTCCTTGCCCTTTTTTAAAAACACTTTTAAATTTTTTTGAAAACAACTTTTTTTCAGCAGAGAGGGAGGGAGCTGACAATCACATTTTCTTTTTTGTTTTTAAAGCGGTTTTAAGCTCAGTTCTGATGATCTATGCAGCTCTAAGTTCCCTTGTGGAGCCTCAAGATCCAGTTTTAGGGAAGGGTTTTGGCTCAAAACTAACTGACCAATTCTTTGCCCTTTCTACCAAGAGAAGTGATACTTGGGCCCCAGGAAATAAATGCTGATTTGTGTGACTGACTTATTCTCTCTCTCTTAACCACTGAATGCAGAAGTCGAACTTCGTTTCCCCTCATTCATCACCAACTGACTTCCCCCAGTGCCCACACTTCCATTGGATGAACTTCTGAAAAAAATACCTCTGTTCCCAATGACTAGTCTATTCCTCATTCGGTGTGTGACAAACCCATTCTCACCCATCCTCAGCCCACATCTTCAGCAATCTAAAAGGGGGCAGGTGAGATGAGTTAAAGGCCTAACAACCTGAGTTTGAGCCCCAGAACCCAATGGTGGAAGGCAAGAACCAACTACTGCCAATTGTTTTCTGACATGCATGCACATGCACATGTTCACACGCACACAGAAATGCACACATATGTAAATAAACAAATGAAAATTTCAAAAATCACCCAAAAGACTCATACTAGAGTGGCCAGGAATCCGGAGCATGGGCACAAACAGCCTCTGAGGCTTTGGAGGAAGAGGTCCTGGTTCTTCCCAGCCCCAGCCACTCCAGATTTCCATTCACAGTCTCCCCAGGGTCCTATGGCCTGCTACAGAGCAGGCTGTCGGAGGTGGGGTCACGTCCATTCTCACCCACCCAGGTCAGAAGGCCCAAAACCACAGTCATCATGTGCTGTAAGACACCAGCCACCAGCTGATTTATTGAGCACCAGATTTTTAGCCTTAGAAGGAAGGTTTCAGATTCATACCCATTATTGGCAGGGCCTTTGGACCATAGCCAGGACACCTGATCAGAGGACAGACCTGGCCATGCTGAGGTCTAGAAAGAATGAAGGTAAGAATGTCACAAAGCTGTGAAGACTCCATCCACATGGTGAGGCTCAGAGAGGTGGTCATGCTGTCTTCAGGGGACCTGTCCTGCTGGTCAAGTCAGAGAAGCAGAAAGATCAGGCAACTCACAGTACACCAGACATCGTGATGATCACAGACCTCCAGACCCAGAGAGGAACTCCCTTCTAGAGAAGTAAGACTGAGGTTCGAGCAAAGGCATGTGTGGCCATGCGGAAAGGAGGGGGCTCGCTAAGCTGGGGCTGGCCCAGTTTCCTGTTTAGACACAGCCCAGGCTGCTCAGATGGTTGGGAGTAGCCTTCAGGAAGCCTGTCTAGACAGTAACTACTCAGAAGATGGCCATCCTAATGAAAGGCTGACCCCCTGAGCCCAGGAGCCAGACCGTCTATGCTTATTCTCAGTGTTGCCCAGGAGGAAGGGCTTTAGCTAGAAGACAGCTAAGAGAACAGGGTGGGATGACTGCCAGACCCCAGAAGGAACATACCAGTGGTGGCCTATGGCTGCAGTTTGTATGCTGCGTAAAGCTGGTTCAGGAGCTGCTCCTTCTCTTCTTCTGGGAGGAAGCTTGACTTTGCTGCATTGATATTCTGGAAGAGCAGGGTAGGGGAACAACATGGAGTCAGGGAGTAAGGAAGGGAGCAACCTAGTGACAGTCCACGCTCTTCACAGATCATGGGCAGCAAAGCCCAGGCCTAGGGACTTGTTCTAGGCCACAGACAGCATATGCCGTAACAGAGACCACGAGCCTCCGCACCTTAGTGTAGAATGTGAGGAGGTTGGAGAAGCCCTTGAGAAGGTGGGATATGTGGGACAGAGGCCCTTACAGAGCTTCACTTGGGACATCAGAACCTGAGACCTGGGGCTCAGCTTGGAAACAACAAAAGTTTCCATAGCTGGACACACCTTTCTGGGGAGAGGGCCCCTCTGAAGGGCTTGACCCAGGCACAGGCTAAGCCACCCGGTCCTCAGCCAGGATGCCAGTGCTAAGGTATCTTCTCTGTGGGAGGTATATGGGTCTGAGACCTGCAGGCCTCACACACACCAGGGGCCAAGTGTCAGGGTTACAGCTCACACCTACTCACCAGTCGCTTAAACTCCTCCTCAGTAAATTCCATCTTCTCTTTGGTCATCTGGTAGTCAGTGTTCAGGGTGGACTTGAAGATGAGGGGGTCATCTGTGTTGAGTGAGTAGTTGGCTTTGTCATTCTTGAAACTGGAGGAGGCACCGGAAATGAAGAAGAGTCCCTTTAGTCCAAGGATTGTCACTGCCCATCTACTCCCTCCTTCCTTCAATCCTCACACCCTAGACAGCATGAAGTGTTACATCCTGGTATCAAGATGGAAACAAATTCTGAGAACTTGGGGACTTTGTCCAAAGTCATCCTGCTAGTCCAGGGGAGTCCAAAGGCAAAGGAGTGGCCTGATGGGACAGCGAGGGAAGAGGATGGGAAAGCCAGGACAGCAGTAGCCCTCAAGTGACCACCTTTTCTAGCCTCCCATTCTCAGTATCAGACAGTGGCTGCTCACCACCCCTCTGCCCTTGTTGGTCCTCAGTCCCCTACAAACGGCTCTTCCAACACAATCCTGACCAACATCTCCTTCCTTACTTGTTTTAGTAGCAGACTGACACTCTAAAGAAAGTGAATATGGGTGCATGTGCCATGGTGAATGTGTGGAGGTCAGTGCTCTTCTAGCATATGAGTGCCAGGGATCAAACTCAGGTGATCATGCTTTGTGGCAAGCACCTCTATCCACTGAACCATTTGTCAGTCCCAGAATCTGACAGTTTCTCGAAGCATCACCCCTGTATTTCTCTGACCTCTCACTTTTTAAAAACCAGTTTTAAAAGTTTGATTCATTGTGTTTGTTTTCTGTTGGTAGGCACACAGAGGCCAGAAAGTTATGTGAGTAATGTCTCCTAGCACTCTGCCTTATCCCTTTGACTAGGGTCTCTCATCAAACCTGATGATCACTATTTTGGGGGCTAGGCTAGGTGGCCAGCAAGCCCCAGCAATCCTATCTCTACCCTCCCCCAGTGCTGGGGGCACAGGTGTGCGTGGCCATGTCTGGCTTTTTGTGGGGATCCTAGGGATCTGAACTCTGATCCTCACCCTTGCATAGCAAGCAGTCTTACCCACTGAGCCATCTCCCCAGCTCCTGACACCATGCTTTTGGCTCTCTCTACTTCCGTCTCTTACTGAATTGTCCTGGGCTCTCTCCTTTGCCATCTTGCTCTGTCGTCTCCTGGGGTCTTTATTCTTCAACCTTTCTATTTGTGAGATGATGTGAACCTTTCTCCAGCCAATGTGCTCTATACTCACATGCCTCTAAGAGTCCCCATTTGGAGGTCCCACACACTAAGGCCAGCCTGAGACCATCTTATCAGAATGTCAGAGCACAAATTCCTTCTATCTACTTAAGCTTGACTGACAGACCAGTGCTGGCCTGACCATGGTCACCCCAAGTTCTTGCCATCTGTATCCTACCTTGGGGAAAGACAGCTTTAAGGGCCTGATCACAGCACAGGAGGGACCTGGCTAGTTGCTGATGGGAGCGAGGAAGCATGGCCAGGATCCAGGAAGAGCTTCAAGCTGCCCTTGGGGGAGTGCCCAGCAGCTCCAAGAGCAGCAAGCATACAGGTACATGAGACTCATCTTCCCATAGCCCAGGAAAGAGTTGAGTGACAAGAATGTAGCAGTTTCCCTCAGGAGGGGGACAATCTGCTGTGGCTGAATGAGCCATGGGGCCCGGCTTGGCAAGCAGGAGACCACAGTCAAATTTGTAAATCTGCGCTTCAGATTTCTCATTTTAAGACAAGGACAGCACTGCCTGCTTCCAAAGGAGTTGAAGTGACTTCATAACTAAGGTCTAGCATGTCCCCGTGCCCAGTCCTGTATTTTCTCCCCAGTCTTTCCAGAACGAAACCAAATGAGCCCCAGGGGACCAGATCTCACCGAACAACTGCATGTTCCGTTTTTGGATCCCAGGCACCTGTGAGGTAGCTGGACCAGGGACAGACCTGCAAGGGCAAAGTGTGGCTGGTACAGCTGGCTCCAGGTCACACCCTACAGGGGCCTGGTCACCTGCTGTGGTGGTCCTGCCAGGTTTGCCTGGACCTCCTTGTTCCAACCCCCTGAAACCTCCACTGTCTGGCCACTCCCACAGAGCTTGCCGGGCCTTCTGCCTCTCTGTCCAGAAGGCATTGGGTAGCCAGGTATCCCCTGTCCTTGGCCCCTCACCTCGAAGTGCATGTTCTCTTGCAGTAGCCGGTGGTAGAGAACCTCATCCTCCAGGGTGTGGTAGCCATGTCCCACTCTCTCTGTTTTGAGAACATCCACAGCCTGTGGAGAGGCAGAGAGGAGCTGAGCAGGGCAGCAGAGAGGGGAGGGGCAGGAAAAGGCCCACACCAGCCACTCCTCACCTCTCGCACGACCTCAGCAGAGCCCACCTCCCCAGCATGGACAGTGCGGTGAATGCCACTCTTCACAGCTCCCTGGAAGGAGAAGAGACAAGTCAGGGGTAGCTCTGGGAGGTCCCTAGCAGGCCCTGTCTTAGCCACATTTGGGGTCCGAGTTTTGACAGGCACGACTGTCCCTAGAGTCAGGCTGGGCTACTTCAGCATGGAGTAGTCTGCCTGTCTTCCCAAGTCATGGATCAGCATGGTAGCTCTCATTGATTCTGTAGCTGCTATGTGCCAGCACTGTTTGAAAGGGTTTCTACACACTGATATTCATAAGTAAATACTCAACACCTGTTTTATGGTTGGGTGTGGCTGAAGCTCAAGAAAGTCAAGTAACAGGAACAAGGCCTAACAGGAAGTATGGAGCCAAGAAAGTGGAGGCCCAGAGAGAGGGCAGTATGGCCTAAGGTCACACAGCAAATCCATAGGCCAATGCAGCTCAAACACAGGTCTCCCGATACCATGTAGGAACTTTTCTTTATACCCTGTCCAAGATAGACTTGGGGACTCAGGAAGCCCCAAGCTTGCCATCCAAGCTCCCCCAGAGCCTGCTCTCCCTTCTCAGCCCACCTCATAGGCCTCCACATGGCCTGGGAAGAGGCTGCTTCCTTCAATGGTCTCATCACCAGCCAGGTCGATAGCCACCACGGTATTCTTATGGTACTTCTTACACAGCTCCAACACCTCAAGGGACCATTCTGGGAGAGAGGTCCAATAGGTCATCAAACAGTATGGGGCAGGGCCTCCCAGCTGTGCTGGTGGCCTGCACAAGACAGAGTCCAGCCTTGTCTTCAGATCCTGACTGCTATGTCTCACATACGTGGTCCCCCAAGCCGCAGTGTCCCCCTTCTCAGAGGGATACCAACAGCACTGTACAGGGTCATGATGCTCTGTGGAGGCCATGTGTATATGGTGCTTTGGTCAGAGACTGGGCTCAGTGAGTAATGAACAGGCTATTATTCCTTTAGTTGGTATTTACAACACCCAAAGTTGGCTTACTCCCATTGAAAAGATAAACAGCTTGACATTTGGCCCACAGTGTAACTCACATGAATATTGGTATATTGCTAATGTGTGTTAAAAGCCTCAGTTATGATATGAGCCAATAAGATGGCTCATTGGGTATACCCACCAAGCCTGATGGCCTGAGGTCAATCCCCAAGATCCATAAGGTGGAAAGAAAGAACCAACAGATTGTCCCCTGACTACACTCGCACCATGGCATGCAGGTGCCCCCACATCATAAAAAATGTAAAAATAAAGTTATGTTGTATTCACAAAGAATGAATGAATATAGGCCTTGTGTCTTTATGGTTGAGGGGCTTCACCTTTCTCTGCCTATCTGTCAAATAGGGAGTGAACAATGGGGGCCCCATCTCACAGGCCGCTGCAAGGGTTAGAGGAGACGCATGCAGACTGACCATGCCCTTCTGTAGCAGGCCTGGTGGCCTGGCACCAGTCCTTGGCATTGATTCCCACTAATCCTTAGGGGAGTGTGGTCATCCTGGAACAAGGTGTAACTCTGAAGAGGTAGTATGACTTGCCCAAGATCCCAGGATTGGCTCTGCGCAATGAAGTTTGAGCCCTAGAGGTTTGACCACTGTTGGTGACAAGAGAGGCCCTCAGAGACCCAAGAAATCAGACTTATGAAGGAGGATCTGTGGCCCAGACAGGATGGGGCTGAGCTACAGGTCCTGAGGCAGGATCATGGCTTAGTGTTTCTCTCTCATTTAGTTAGGTTCCTTTGGTTCTGAGCTTCCTGCAGGTCACGTGGCTGTCAAGACCCTATCTTCCTGGAGACAGGTGCCACCTGGAGTTCTGAGCCTGCCTAGAGCCTTCTAGTGTCTTTAGAAAGCTCTAGGAGTTGGGGGGGCACTGGGGTGGGCTAGGTATAGCCCTGTGGCTAGGCCAGGCAGTCAGGCAGCTGGGCAGGGTGTGGTGGTACTCACTAGGTTGGTGGCGCATGCAGCATAGGATGGACCGGGCCTTGACCCCAAATGCTTTCTCTCCCTCCTGCAGGCCCTGGTTCACGAGGTCCACAACCTCATCGGGGGTGAGGTCTCCTCTGTGTGGGGAGAGGAGGGAGGACTTGAGGCCAAAGGAAGGCCATGGCCAGCCTGGGCTTGGGACAGGGAGGAACAACATTGACCCTGACCTATGTACTCCAAGGAAAGTCATGATTCCAAATCCTGGCACCTCTGCCCACTTCCTTAGAACTGTCTGGGCACTGCCAGATTCCAGTGTGGGAGGGTCAAACGGCCCTCCCCACCCCTGGATGGAGAGGGGGCTAAGCGTGGGTCTGGTGAATTCCCACTTTTCACATATTAGAATCATGACTCAGAGCAAGGAGGCTTTAAGATACTTCAAGGTACAAGAGGTCCAGGCCAAGAGACAGGGACAGGCCTTCAGAAGTCACCAGCCAAGCTAGGCAGAGCCATGAGCAGTGAGATAACTAAGTGCTTGGCTCAGGGTAGAGCCATAACCCCAAGGAAAGGGATAGGAATCATCCCTCTTATGGCCAAATTGAGCCCCTCTGAAGCAGTGGGCCAAGCAGGGCCGGGGCCCCCAGTAGGCAGTCTACCCTTCTCCTCTTAGGGTTGGGCTGCTCAGACACACTCCTGGCATAGCCCCCTCCAGGGCTGCACTCACTCCGTCTGGTTCCAGGGGATGGGGTCCACTTTGGAGTTGGCCAGCAGGTGTGGGCTGTAGCGCACCTCCACGTACAACACTCCTTCCTTGGCCTTCATTTCCACAAACTCATAAGCGATCCTCTTGATGGCCTCTCTGCAGCCCCTGGAGAGGGAGAAACATGGGTTGGGAACAACAGGAGCAAACCAGGCTGCCCCCAACCCTCTGCATATCAAACCTATTTCCGGCTCCCAATCTCTCACTATCCAACCTCAAGTTCTGGGCACCTGTCAGGTAAGGTCCTAGCCACTTGGCAAATCCTAGCATCTAGATTTCTAAACTACAAACCCATTCTGGCTTCTTGCCCTGGTGTAACCATACTGCCTCTAACTGACAAGTTCATGTTTGTCCTGCACTCTGTTTGCCACACAGCAGTGAGAGCAATCTCAGAAATGGAAACCAGGAGGGCTGGCAATATGGCTTAGCAGATAAAGGAGCTTGTTGCCCATCCTGAACCTGAATTTCATAGGACCAACATGATGGAAGGAGAGAACCAACTCCTGCAAGTTGTCCCCTGATCAACTCATGCTGTGGTACATGTGCCCCCCCCCAAAAAAAAGTGCACTGGGGCCTAAGGGTATGGCCCAATGGCAGAGCATGTGCCTAGAATCCCCCTACCTCCATAATTTTTACAAAGGAAACCAAAGCACACGGCTCCTCTCTTCGAAGCCCTAATAGTTTCTGACCATATGGAAAGACATCATGTTGGACCACACGATGTGATCAACAGCCTCTCTGGCACCTTGCTCCTCACATTCTTTCTCATCAAGGGCAGTCAAGTTTGTCCTCCCCATCTCAAGACATTGGGTTGCAGCCTTCTCAACTGGAGAGTACATTCCTCCAGCATCCTGGCCTCCTGCCTCCCTCTACATAGGGCCAGCTCAAGCTCTCCTACCCCAGGTCTTTAAAGATCACCTTCTCTCTGGGTATAACTTTTCTTCTTGGGCCTAATCAATACCGGACAGTACACAGCAATACTTTATTTTTTTAAATATTTAATTAAAATTTTATTTTATGTGTATGAGTCTATTGCCTGCATGTAGGTAAGTGCACCCATGTCGTGCAATGCCCATGGAGGACAGAAGAGACCATCGGATCCCCTGGAACTGGAGTTACAGACAGTTGATAGTTGCCATGTGGGTGCTGGGATTTGAACCCTGGTCTTCTGCAAGAACAACCAGCGTTCTTAACCATTGAGCCATCTCTCCAGCCCCAGCACATGCTTTCTTTAGGGGATGCTTCCCATCTCCCCTGCCTCCCATGAGGGCCCCTTCAGCTGCCTTCTCATGGCTGTAACCCTTTGCCAAGGGAAGTGCCAAGGACACTGTGACCAGATATCTGTTGAATAATAGATATAAAGCTGGCAGGGAAAATAAAAACCCAAATAGGTGAGTCAGAGGGACTCTGGGATGGGCAAACCTGATCCTTAGTCATGGACTTTTCTTCTGTGTGACCCTGGGTTAGTCAGTTACCTTCTCTGATACCTATGTTGCAGGGCTGTTGTGAGGACAGATGAGTAACACATCAGAACATGCACCTAGACCAGTGCCTGGAGCAGGGCAGAGAAGCACTGCACTAGATCCTCGCCAAAGGCCAATTAATGATCAGGCAGATGCTGAAAAGTGTTTTAGTTGTTGCTGCTGGGTGTGGGCTCCATAAGCAAGGCACAAAGTGACCTGTGAGGGCCTCTGATCAAGTGCTAATGGACTGGGCCTGGCTGGAACTTCCCACCACAAAGAATAGAAACAGACTGGGAGAATGGGTGAGGGAAGGCAGGCAAATTGTCACAGTCCTGAGTGAGAAGTTTGGGGAAATTGGGTCCCCAGGAGGCTTATGAATGGGAGTGGGGACTCAGCTCCGCCACAGGGAGGAGCATGTTCCCTATTGTTCCCAGTTTCAGCTCCCCCATAGCTGTGGTCTCATTTCATTCCTCAAGTGGGTATTGAGCCCTCACACTGAGCCCTGACCCTGAATACACAGTGGGCAGGAGGTAGGGTCCCTGCCCTTCAGCCACCTTCTGCCACAGCAACCGGGCAGTAAAGAAGGAAAGTATCCATCAGACAGTGACAACTCTATAGACACACATAGAGCCAGGAGGCAGTATGGTATGCCACAACACAGTCAGCAAGACCCTTACTAAGAAGGGCCATGAGAGATGTGCAAAAGGCTAGTGATGGGCCTTGAGGGAACAGCATTCCAGGCAGAGGGAACAGCAAGGGCTGAGGACCTGGTGTCAGGATGTACTTAGTGTCCAAAGGTAGGGGAGCAGTGAGCAGCAGGCTGAGGCAGGAACAAGGGCCCAGACCTGACATGTGGTCTTTAACTTTTGCTCTGAGGGACACAGGGAGATACTGTTAAATTTGGGCAGGGAACTTAGGTTTTAAAGTCATAAGACTTTTCTCTGGAACTCTTCTATGACTACTTTTGGGGCTTTTCAGAGCCTAGTAATGGTCCCCACTAACCTGACTCAGGAAAGGACCCAACCCTACTTCCACTTCCCACTCCAGAGCCCAGCCTTCCTTCCCCTCACAGTCCAAAACTCTAAACTAGGGCACAGGAGACCAGGTTTGGATCCTGCTTTGCTCTGACCCCATGTCTTCTCTCAGCCTCAGTTTACCTAGGTCAAGGCCTCTTTCTCTGATATCTGTGATAGCGGCATGAGTCTAGCAATGTCAGGTCCTGAAGGGCAATGAGCTCTCAATGAGACATCCCATAGACTGCCAAGCACAGGGCTTCAGGGAGCAGGGCCTCTTTTGCCTTGTGCCAGGAGCTGCCCCTGGGTGGCATGGGAGATGATGTGCCCAAAGGCACAGGAGAGATTTGCTCAACTGTATGCCACAGCAAGAAGCAAGGCTGCGGTTTAGAGTGCCTTCAGTCCAAGGCCCAGGGTTGGTCTTGGTTTCAAGGATGGATGCCACCCCAGGATACAAGGGTTGGGAGCAACTCACGCGATAGCAGGCATGTAGTAATCAAACTTGGCCAGGAAAGCTGGGAGGGAGATTGGCTTGTCCATGCCAATGACATCAAGCAACCCCTCCACTGTGTCGGCTGGGAGAGCAATCCCTCGCTTCCTGGGAACAAAACAATGAGGATACGATGAGCCCAGGGCAGGATCCAGCCAGCCCTCCTGGGGCAGCATGGAATAGACTCAGAAACCCAAGAGGAGACATGGGAAGGAGCTGGATGGAGTGATCCCTGGGACAGATGGGGAAGCTGAGGTCCAAGGCCTAGAGAGCCAGGCTGGAGGCCTTCCAAGACTTCTGGCCCTAAGCCATGACAAGTCAGCATATCTGCCATCTAAGTACTTAGTGGGCCCAACCACATTTAGCACCCAAGATCAGATGAGACTAGGTGTGTTCAGGGTTGTATAGCGGTAGTCAAGCCAACACATCTCGAGGAACAAACAGATGGGGTGAGTGCCAGGGCAAGCCCAAGACTTTCTCGTCAGGCCCGGGGGCAGGCAGAACCAGCTGGACACATGCCCAAACAGGAGATATCAGGGGCAATGACTACTGTGCAGTGTCACAGTTCCCAGGGGAGGAGCTGGCACCAAGACCACTCCCTCTGCCCTCCTGTGACAGGCACACCACAGTGGCCTGGACTGTCACAGCAGCCTGCCTCATCCAGCATAGGCCTGCTGTGCTGGCCACTCAGCTTAGGGCTCTGTCAGATCCCTGCCCCAATACCCCTGCCTAGGAGCCTCCTCTTTGTAGCAGGATCTCTGCCGCCCTGTCCACTGGAGGAAGCTTATGTGAACTTGGGGTGACCTCCTCCTCCGGCATACACCCTTGCTTTCTCCTCCCATGTGGCTCAGCTTCAGCATAAGGGAGTCACTCATTATTATTTATTATTATTATTATTATTATTATTATTATTATTATTATTATTATTATTATTATTATTATTATTATTATTATTATTATTATTATTATTATTATTATTATTATTATTATTATTATTATTATTATTATTATTATTATTATTATTATTATTATTATTATTATTATTATTATTATTATTATTATTATTATGTGTATATGTATGATGTGTGTGCGTGTGTGCGCGTGTGTGTGTACAGGTGCACATGTGCCACTGAGCATGTGTGGAGGTCAGAGGACAACTTTCAAGGTGGTTTTCTCCTTCGAGTTGGCTCTCTCCTTCTACCATGGGTTCCAGGGATGGAACTCAGGTTGCCAGGCTTGCAGAGCAAGTGCTTTTACCCACCGAGCTATCTAGTCCACCCAGTGTCTCTAATTTTAATATAAAAGGATGCCTTCAACCTACCATGAAGCCCTGGGTTTGATCCCCAACACTGCATAAACCAGGTGTGGTGCCACACACCTGTCATCCCAGCACTTGGGAGGTAGAGGTAGGAGGATCAGAAGTTCAAGGTGGCTACACCTTGGCTACACAGCGAGTAGGAGGCCAGCCTGGGCTACATGAGACCATGTCTCAACAAACAAACCCTGGAAGTGAACAGCCTCAAGGAGATGAGAGGATGTTGTATTCCTATAACAAGAATGTCCCCTTTTAAAAAACATCAAGGGGATCAGACTACAGCTGCTCAGCATGCAGAAGACCCTGGGTTCCATTCCTAGCACACCAATAAAATAAAATAATCCCCTCCCCTGTGGGTGCCCAGTAGGCACCACCAAGGTCTTCCTGCTCCAGCCTGTGGGCCAGTCTGTCACAACCCTCACTAGCCTCAGATCCCCATAACACACCGTGGGGAGATGGTGCCCCTGATGTGGTCTTGGCACACAGAGGACAGGTGCTCAGTGTCATCTTGTCCCCACAGGCTGAGCTTCTTGCTGCTGCCCAGACTGCCTCCAAGTCACCCTCCTAAGGCCATGCTCAGCCATGGTGGTCCTGCAGAGCCTGTAGGGGGACAATCTGCTGACTGCGTTCAGAGACAATGATTCTGACTGCAGCCCCACAGCACAGCCGTAGGATAGCAAGGGTGTGGTAGGTACCTGGAGACAGTCTATAGGCAGACAGGAGGTCACTGCCAGGGTCAAGGGAGGAACAGCAGTGGCTTAGAGCACTGTAGTGATGGGCATCAGAGGGTGGCCAGATCTCCAGCCCACAGGGTGGTGAAGGACCCCAGAAAGGAGGTAAGAGGCTCCATGAAGGGTGTACTCCCAAGAGCTGGAGGAAGAAGAGATAGCTGCCAACAGTCACCACGACGGGCTGCCGGCTTAGGCCTAGGGCGCCACAGGTGAGGGCCTCCCATCTGCTTTCTCCTTCCAGCTGCTCTACCTGGCCCTCCATATCTGAGTCCCTTCCTGCAAACTCCAGGGCAAACCCCAGCCAGGATCTGCTGTTGTCACTCAGGGCCCACTGAGGTAGCCTGAGTGGAAGAATCACATCAGCCTCCCACTGAAGGCTCTCTGCCCTTCCCTTTCCCTCTACCCAACCCTGGACACTCATGCCTTCTTGTACCTGCTAATGAGAATTCTGTGACCCCTTAATAAGGCTTGATTAAATCCCTTCTCAGTGTCCCACCCAAATGATCTCAGCAGGGCCCTGTGGCAATACCTAACAGCTCCAAGTGGGCAAAGGCCAGATAGAGATAAGGCCGAGACGTCCCCCTTACATTGGAGGCATAAGATGCTAATAATATCTTGAAGTGGCATTTATGGAGCTCTATTGTATCCTGAGCTAAGTGTGTTTCATGTCTTACTTTCACCAAAGCTTCTGGTTGCATGATGGGACATGGACTCTGCCAAACCCCTGGGCTGAAACTGCCCTCTGCTCATGAAAAGCTCTTGGCTGCATGGCTCCTGTTCACCATCTGTAAAGTGGGAAAGCAAAAGAACCTCCCTCCCTCCTGGTGAGAGGAGTCACTAAGTGAATCCAGGGAGGCACAGCCAAGGCTGTGTGTTTATGTCACACAGCTGAACAAAAAGTACGTCCCAGGAGAGGAAAGAAACATGGCAACAGGAAGAGACTGCCTAGCAGAACTCCCCCAGGGAGTTGAAAGCCATGCTCTGGAACTGGGGACAAACACCTCAGGCACACCCGGGCACCTAATAAGACTGGCACATGCCACAGAGGTGGAGCTGAGGCTAGACACCAGAGACAATAAGGGAAGGCCAAGTCCTTGCTGTTATAGGGAACTGTAACAGCAAAGGAGTGAAGGATGCTGGAAGGGGCCCTTGCCCTGACCACTTGAAGTAGAACCGTCTAGGTTCACCTCCTACGTCCAACCTGTGGAGGCCAGAGTGGAAAGGTCCCAACACAGCACCTTCTTCCATCAGGGGCTTGTTTGACTCCCACACAGGGGGATGAACAGAACTCTGGGAATCTCAGGGAAAGGGGCTAAGAAGAGCTGTGGATTCCACTGAATTCTGCAGAGGATGGCTGCTGTCCATGGACTTACTTGGCAAAGTATAAGATGGTTTCTGGCTTGATGGCTCCATCTAGGTGGACATGAAGTTCCACCTAAAAGGGAGAGGAAGAGAGAGAGAGAGATTGAGATTTATGAAACCTGAGAAACCCTTCAGAAGTCACTTTTACTGTATACTTAAACTAATATACTTTAAAATATTTTTTATTATTTTTATGTGTATGAGTGTATTGATTGCATGGATGTGCACCCTTGTCGTGCAATGCCCACGGAGGTCAGAAGAGGGCATCACATTCCCTGGAACTGGAGCTGTGGATGGTTGTTAGCTGCCATGTGGGTGCTGGGAACTGAACACAAGAGCAGCCAGTGATCTTAACTGCTGAGCCATCTCTCTAGCCCCCCGATATACTTCTTAAATTTTTTTTTAACCTCTTAAATTTTTTTTTTTTAACCTCTTAAATTTTTTATTCCCACAATCTTGCTTAATCTCATCTGTGTGTGTTTTGGGGAGGACCAAGTGCCATCACTGTTTCCTTTACAGCTGAGGACACTGAGGTTCAGAGAGGTTAAATACCTCGTGAAAGATACACAGGAAGCAAGTACTGGAAACAGGAGCCTAACCCTGTACCTTAGCCACAGGTGGGAGCAGCAGACCAGAACCCAAGCCCAATTCCAAAGTTTGTGATCTTAACCATGAGGCCAGTTAGGGTCCCATGGGGACTACTGAATTTCAGCCACTATACAAGGGACACTTTCAGCTACCTTGCTTAACTAACTCTGAGTTTAACAGAAAGACCTCACTGCAGACTCTGTGTTAGTGAGTCATCTGTATCTCACACCTCAAAAATCAAGTTCTAGGGTCTGGGGAGACAGCTCAGTCAGTAAAGTGCACAGATGTGAGGACCAGAACCCATATAAAAAACCAGGTGTGGCCAGGTGTGGTGGCACACGCCTTTAGTCCCAGCATTCCGGAGGCAGAGGCAGGCTGATCTCTGTGAGTTCCAACCAACCTGGTCTACATTAGTAAGTTCCAGGCCAGGTAGGACTAGAGGGAGACCCTGTCTCAGAAAAGATCAAACAAAACAAAACAAAAACAAAAACAAAAAACTAGGTGTGGTAGTATACACTCGTAATCCTAGAATGGGAAAGTAGATATAAGGATCCCTGGGACTCACTGGCCAGACAGATTAACCTAATCAATGAGACCCAGCTTCTTAAAAAAATAGGGTAATGGGCAAAGCATGGGGGCACATAGCTTTAATCCAAACACTTAGGATGCAGTCAGGCTTCACCATCACAGAGACTATAGGACAGAACCACCCAGGGGGGCTCTTGTGACCACAGAGATGGGACATCATGTGAGAGCAGAAAAACCAGCAAAGGCTGTGAAGCTGGCTAGATAGGGAGGCTGTGAGAGGCTACCACAGTCAAGAGCTTGAGGCTGGAGGCTAGGACCAGGCACTGATTCAAGCCAGCACTTAGTGCAGGGGAGACAGAGATTGGAGAAGAGAGTCCAGTGATGGGAGCAGACTGAAGGACATGGCAGGTAGAGGCCAGGCCACAAGGCATCAAGGGGAAACAGTGATCTCCCTGAGTCAGTAGGTTGGACCCAGCCATGGCCCCCAAAGTTGCCTGCATCTCAATCCCCAGAACTGGTAACCAACCTTAGCAAGAGATGGAATTACCCACAATCTTGGAAGGAAAGAGCTCATCCTGGACTCCTTGGGCAGACCCTAAATGTACTATCCTGACCTGGTACCAGAGATGGAAGAGTTGCTGCTCAGGACAGGAAGCAGCAACATGACCACAGAGGTAGAGGTTGGAGTCATCTAGTCACAAGACCAGAACACCTAGTACCAGGAGAGACTGGCAAAGCTAGGGGCAGAGCCCCTGAGCCTTCAGAGTGAGTAAGGCCCACCTAGTACTTTGATTTTTGACTTCTGACATCCAGAACTAGGGGAGGGGTAACGTCCTTCCATTTTTTTTTTCGCAATGCTGGGAACAGAATGCAGGGCATTCCGTGGTTTTTAAACCACTGAGTATGTGGTCACTTGTTACAGGGGTCACAAGAATGTCATATAGCCAGGTCAAGGCTAGGAGGACAGAAAGACACCCCTGAGTCCAAGAACACGGGCTCTGGGAACCCACTGAGACATGGAGGAAGCTTTGGAAAGTCATCCATGCCTGTCGCAATGCTGGGAACAGAATGCAGGGCATTCCGTGGTTTTTAAACCACTGAGTATGTGGTCACTTGTTACAGGGGTCACAAGAATGTCATATAGCCAGGTCAAGGCTAGGAGGACAGAAAGACACCCCTGAGTCCAAGAACACGGGCTCTGGGAACCCACTGAGACATGGAGGAAGCTTTGGAAAGTCATCCATGCCTGGGCTTCACCCCAATCAGTTTCACCTCAGTAACTAGGATATGTGCAGGCATAATTGTACTTCTATATTTTGGGGGTGCTAGGGGATGGAGTCCAAGGCTCCAGGGCCTCAAGCATGCTAGTCAAGCACTATACTATTAAGTCATACCCTGAACCCTGTTTTGTATTTAAAATACATTTAATCCCAGCACTCAGGAGGCAGAGAGAGGCAGGCGGGTCTCTGTTAGTTTGAGGCCAGCCTGGTCTCCATAGTGAGTCCAGGCCAGCTGTGGCTATAGGGAGACCCTGTCTCAAAAAGACCCTCCCCTCAAAATTGTTTTGAACTTGCAGTCAAGGTTGAGGACAGTGGTCCACAGTCTCAGAATCCTGAGGCCCAAGTAGGAACAGAACCCAGACAGAGGACAGGCATGGATGAGTGGGAGTATAGAGTGGAGACGGTCTGCATTCTTCTGAATTTTACTTCTGAATGGCTGACAGATGGCCTGGGAAGGGACAGGAGGTCGAAGTGGCTCAGAGAAGTTTGTTTCTTTTTGAAGGTGGGAGTGAGTTGGTTACATTTAATCACTGGTGAGGCAACAGAGGTGAGAGCGGTTACTGAAAAGGGGAAGGAGGGTTAAAAGGCAAAACCAGGCCTGACCTGTAATGGGTCAGGGCAGGGTCACTGGGGACCATCAGTGGGCATCAGGGTTCTGCAAGGTCTCTCTGGGGAAAGTACTCAAGTGCCAATGCAAGATGCTCCCATAGGGCATTCTGCTCTGGTATAACAGCAGCAATGGTCAGGGTGGGACTGTCCCATCTGCCAGGCTCCAAGAGATCACCATGGCAAGTTGCAGGCAGATAGCCTTAGAGCCAGAGCTAGAAACATCCTTGCCTTACACAGCCTGTCCTGCTGACTGAAGCAAGAGTACTTCTGAGGTCAGAGTCACAAGCTGTGATGACACCCAGGGCTTCGAGGTAAAGAAAAGCAGATAGCAAGGGGCACAACATAGAAAGAAGGTCCAGAAAGGTGCACTTGAAGGAGCAAAAACTCTCAGGGCAGAGTTGGTGAGTGAGAAGCAAGAAGCAGGAGAGGGAGGTGGCTCCCTGCTGAGGGGACTGCGGGTGGGTGCCCAGGATCTCAGAGTCAGGAAGCCTGATGGGAATTGCTTGCAGAGATCCAAGCGTTTTCCACGGAAATGTTTTCAATAGGGAAGCCATCTTTTAAAAGCTTTTCCGGCTTCCAGGGTGAAGGGCAGGCTGGGAGGAAGCCTGGACAGATTTGCTAATATCATTTCCAGACTAGAGCTGAGTACTGTTCAGGGTGTGCACCCTGCACAGTAGGTGCTTATGAGCAGCAGTTCAGTATACAACAACAGCTCCTGCAGGAGGGCCACACAGAACCAGGCAAAGAGGCCTCTGAGCAGGGGCAGCAGAGCCAGCCACTCACCATGCCTCATAGAGGCTGCCTACAAGAGGGTGTGTGGCAGAAGCGGGAACCATCTCCACAGGCACCCCAGGTTGAGGCAGGCCTCCCACTGAAGTTTCCAGAAAGCTGCTATGGAGACGACAATCCGCTACCCTAGATGACTGTAGAGTACAGGCTTGGAGACTGAGGTAGGGACCCTGCCCTCCTGGCCCTGTTCTGGGAAAAGGAACAGCCAGAGTCCAAGATGTGAGTGTCTACTATGTACATATCACAACCTTAAAGGCAAGGACTCCACATCCATTTCTTACCTAAGAGGAAACTGAGGCCCAAGAAGTGTCTAAAGACTCAGAATGAGTCAGGGATGGGGGTGGAATTTGAATCCAGGTCTGGTTCTTGAGCTCCTAACCACTGTCCTGCGGGCCTCCCTGCAGACAGGATGAATGACAGCAACAGTGCTGAGAATTACAGAGCTGCCGCTGTCGCTGTTTTCTCTTGACCTCTAGGCAAGGTTCACATTAGCCCTAGTGACAGTCATGGAAATGGACTTGCAAAGCAAAGCCTGGGGAGGTTCAAGGACCTTCCCAGACCTACAGACTGACAGTAGCACAAAGCTGGGGCCCAAGTCCTTTCTGCCTCCAAGTCCAGGTCCTGCCCACAACCACAGCACCACCAGGGCCTGGCACCAAGCCTGTGCCCAGCCTCCTGACCTCTCTGGAGATGTTTCGTGCCCCCTCCCTCTGCACTCACTCTACAGGGCTAGCTCACAGTTGATCCACGATCTGTCAGAGCTGCAGGATGCTCTCTTCGGGCTGATGGAACAGGAAGCAGCTCAGCCACCAACAGATATAGGAACTGAGGAACGCACTAAGACATGCGAGCACATAGGTAAGGTCCAGAGATGCACATTCACAGCCCCCAGCCTCCCAGGTCACAGGACTTGTGTTTGGCCAGGTGCTCCTGTATCTGACTGAGGATCACAGGCTCAGAGAGCAGGCACAGCAGGCTGCCCACAAGGCAAGCCTGATCAGACATGTGCCCAGCTTCCAGTCCCCTAAACACACAAGTCTGCTCTGTTTTCACCCCACTTTTCTGTCATTATTGCACGTTGGTCCCCTCAGCAGTTTACTGAGAGTGAAGACTTACTTGTCTGTGTCACCTGTTGTGTCCCGAGTCCTAGAATAGCACCTGGCTTAGCAAAAAGTACTCTGGGTCTGTTGACTGTCACTGAGCGCTCTCTCCCGCTCCTGTCTAAAGTCAGCAATGGAAGGTTCTCCCCCACCATGGAGAAGGGGCTGACTTCTCTATCCTGAGCCTGGTGGAGAATCCAGGAACACAGAGCAGCCAGAGTTGTCTGGCCAACCCTGGGCCCTGAGCACTGTGGCCAGAACCCAGCAGAGCCACAGTCCACTGCCAGCCCAGCTCCTCCTTTGTAGCTCTGCTCTCACCAATGATTTGGGTGGGGCAGGGGGCATCGCCTCATGTCCTCTGACCTCTCGGGTGACTTTTAGGGTGAAATTAAGAAACAAGGCAGCCCTGGGCCAATGAACTGTTTCGGCTCCACCTCCTCCAGGAAGCCTTCCAAACTGGGCCCTTTCTAGGATCCTTCAGCTACAGTATGCAGACCAGAAGAGGCCAAGAATCCCCTCAGTGTTTCCTGCAACCTTGGGGCCTGGTGCAGCTCTCCACTACTGTTTATGAGCCAGCTGAGAAGTTTCCCAGCCAGCAAGAAAGAACTCCTTCTGAGGGAGGTCTTGTGATTCAATAGCCTAAGGATGCCCAGTTATCTCCACTTTATGGGTGAGATGATTGAGGCTCAGAGATTAAGGAACTTGACTTAGGTAATAAAAAATCTACTGAGCTTCAGACTAACGAACACCACAGCCAGGAAGTTGTGTGCCTAAGACCGGAAATCTTTACCCGGGCAACATGTTCCCTGAATCTTATAAGGCAAGGTGCGAGGCAGATGATGGGGAAGTCTGACCAGGATGATCAGTAACCATGGTGATGCTATTCTATATCAACAGTAGCTATCAGTGGCATGCCAACACTGAGCCAGCTTATGTCTGTGAGATGAGTACAGGTAGAATTCCTATTTAAACTGAGGCACAGTGAAGTTAAGTAACTCATCCAAACTCTCTAACTCATTAAGTGGGAGATCAGAACTTGACTCAGACAGCCTAGTCCTGGCCCTGGCACGTAGGTTACACACCCCTACAGCTACTCTGGGGCCTGGCTCACCTTTGCCCCTAGCCTCATGGAAAACATAGCGTAGCATCCAACCTCACTTTGGACACCCCTGGCTAACTCTGTCTAAAGCTATCCCACAGTGCTACCTTCCCCCACCCCAGGGAGCATCTTAGGACTCTCAGGACACCTAGGCAGGTGGACAAGTCTCTTCCAGCTTGCAGGGCCACCTCCTAGGCTGAGGCTGGATGTGGAGTCAGGAGGCTAGCTGGTCTCTCTGACACCCTGTGTACCCACAGACCACTTCCCTTCTCCGATCCGTGCTTCTACATCTGTCAAACAAAGGCTTCCATGAAACCAAATCTCCTCTCTTCCCCCTCGAGTGCCTCCCCACCAACTGCCATTGAAGTCAGAATGAGTGAGACTGCCTCTTCCCAGGGGTAATTTTGTTTCAGCAGGTGGCTCTGGTAACTGAAAGACGTGAAGAGCCTCAAAAAGTGCGCCTGGGGTTTTATCTCCAGAAGACAAGGTGACGGTGACACCCAGAGTGGGGAAGCCTCACAGAGTCCACAGCTGCAACCCCCAGAAGGGAGCATCTCAAGAGCCTGTGCTCCCCACTAGGACTGTAGAAGAAACCATCCACGTATGGATTTCCCCGAGACCCTATAGCTGGTTTCTTCATCCTATCCTACAACCCTGGTCTGTCTGAAGGCCCAAACCAAGGCACTAATTCTAACTCCTTGCCCCATAACACCCTCCCCCACAAATGGAAAGGGCAAATTGGCAAAGCAGTAAATAGCAAGTATTTACTTCAGTTTTAGGACGATCTAAGTTCAAGCCCAGCTCTGCTGCTTTCTGGCTGTGTGACTTTAGCAAGTTCCTTCCCCTCTCTGAGTCAGTTTCCTCCAATGTAAATGAAAATAATGGGACCCAGAGGCCTGTGGTGAACATATCATGAGTTATATATGCAAATCAGCTAGAACAGTGCTCAGTACAGAGCAAACATTCAAATGTGAAAGAGCAAAGGTGCACTGGTTCATGCAATATATGAAAAAAGGGCTAGTTTAGAAGCCGAGCCTTCTCAGCCTGGGCCAGTTCCCTTGTACGCTGGGATGCAAGATGCACAAATTTTGTGGTACCCAGAACCACTCCAGAAATCCTCAGCTCTCAGTACAATGATAGGCACAGGGTCAGCTTGGATCTTCAAGACACAGACCATCTGGGAGCCACTAGATTTTTCTAGCCCTGCTCCACATAGACACTGATGAAGGCCACTGGTCCATACATATACATACACTCACCCACTTTCTTCTGTGCCCAGCAAGTGCTCAGGAACGGTTTGCTAGGTGCACAATCAGAACAGGTACCTACACTCTTGCTCCTCAAAGCAGGTTGATGGGCCAGCATTGTTAGCACTGCCTGGGAGCAGTACAGCAGCATCTAGGCCCTACCCGGACCTCCTTAGTCACAGTCTACACAGTCAAAACCAGGCGACTTGAGTGCATGTTAAAGTCCGGAAGGTCGAAACAGGGAGGTGCTCAGTGGGTAAATCGCTTGCCGCACAAGCATGTGGATCTGAGCTTTAATTCCCTGAATCCACATAAAAACATAAGGAGTGGTGATGCAGGTCTGTAATTCCAGTGTTCCTATAAAGGGTTAACGGGATGCAGAGACCGGAGAATTCCTGGAAGCTCACGAGCCAGTCGGTTTGGCATACCAGTGGTAAATGACAGAGACCCTGTCTCAAACACGGTAACATGAGGACCAACACCTGAGATTGTCCTCTAACCTCCACATGTGTGCCGAGGTACATGTGTGGCCACACTCATACACATTAACATGTACACACACATTAGAAAAAAAAAAAACAATTCTGGAAGGCACCACCCTTCTCTGCCTTCTTGAAGTTGTCCAGGCCCTGGGTCCCAGCTGACAGTAGGCTTGGGAAAGTTAAAGAACCCAGCAAAGGTCCCTGTCCCTAGAGGTAGGCATGGAATCAATTCCCAAGATCTGCAGAGGTCTCCCAGGAAAGACTTAGGGACATGGGATTTCAGGGGGATTTTCTGTTTGTTTGTTGTCTGAAACAGGGTCTTGGTATATAGCTCAGACTAGCCTGGAACTCAAAGACCTCCTGCTTCAGCCTTTCCCAAGTAGCAGAAATTACAGGTATGCCCCTTGGTGCCCAGCTTAGGGAATGAAACTTTGAAACCAGCTCCCTACCTGGACTCAACCCCCAACCTGGCTATCTTGGGTCTAGTTAAGCTCTTGGCATCTGTTTCCAGTCTGTACACCTGACTACCTCCCAGGGTGCCTGCCATTATCATCAAATGTATGTAGTTGCATTTAGGCCACGGTCTGCCAGACCCACCAACCCTCAGTGAGTTTCAGTTGGCGAAACTCAGTTACACTGGCAGGCCGGGAGCTAGGTCTGGTCACAGTGGCTCCTTCCCACTTCTCATGTCAGCTGGAACAGCATCCCTCCCTCACCATGACATGAGACTTATCACACCTCAGACACAACAGCAGACACTATTTTTCTGCCCAAGCTTTGCCTTTAAACATTCAGACAACCATGTCAGCAGCTGGATCCGATTCCCCAGGTGCAGCATCTGAGGCCCTGAGGGAGGAAATGACCTGCCTCTATGAATCAGATGACAGTACAGGGAATCCCAGCATTGATCCCCACAGAGCTGGTACTAAAACATTCCAAGGATACAGGTGCATACAGCAGGTGCCATACATGTGTGTTCTGTCATTCACCCCCCAGCTCCCACCACTGTCAATCAACGGGCTTTGTCTACTGCCTTAGGTTCACTTCTTCCCTTGACCAAAGGCAGAGAATCTAGAGCATTAAAAGAAAAAAACAAAACAAAATAAAAGAACAACAACATCACCACCTTCACAGCAAGAGGCACTAAGGATGGGCAGGGATACCAGATCACACCTACAGGAGGCACAGATGAGGCAGGGGGGTTGCCCTGCACTCTTAATCTCTAGTTTCTGACAGGAAGGAGCACAGCATGTTCCCTGTGGTGGGACCATGAATGATGGAGTGCATACCTGCCTGCCCTCCCTCTCCACGCCACACATGTGTGCACACACATGTCCACATACATACACATTGGACTGTCATCCACAGGTGTTAGGTGTCTGCATCACCAGGTGGCCTGTTTCTTGGAGGGGTAAGCTGAGGCTGCTTGCCTCTGAATTCCCCCACTGGGCCCTCAGTCTTGCACTGATGGCCTGTTCACACAGCCTGGCTGACTCCTGGGTCCTGTCCTCTGGATAGACTCTGTAAAGACTGCAAAGCTGGCCTTAGGGGCCTGGACCCTTGCTGACTACCACTGTTCCCAAGAAGCTGCAGCTGGTGGGTGGAGAGACAAGGGGCTCTCCCTCGGGGCCAATGGCTTTGGCTTAGCTCCAGTGAACTCTATTGTGGCCAAAGGCCCAGGGCCCCCAGGGTGGTGAGGGGCCCCTCCTCCAGCTCCTAGCCCCCCATGTGGGGGAGGGGCCGGCCCGCTGCTCTCCTTTCTGCTTGGCTCACCCATCTTCCCACGGGTGCATTCGTAAACCTGGGCTCCCTGAGCCATCATTAAGTTGTATAAAGCCTTTCACCGACAGCGTCATTCACCACAGCTGGTGAGCCCGGGGCCCATTCTACTGAGGTTCGGGGGACATCATGTCCCCACCCAGGCTCCCTCAGCGGCGCGGCTCCACCACACTAGGTGCCCATTTGGCAGACAGCGAGGCTGAGACCCAGAGGGACAGGTCAGAGGTAGAAGCAGAACCCGAAGGCCAGCCAGAGGCGCTCCTGGCCACATTGCCGCCCATTCGACATCCCGGAGGCAAGCCGAGGCCGGGGCCAAGGGAAGACCCCGGCAGGAGCCGCGCTGTGCTCCTAGGAGAGGATGCCCAGGGCCAGCCCCCGCTGAACCCCAGGCAGCCCGGGATCCGAACCCCGGCCCGAGCCCGACCGTGCTCACTTTGGGCTTGTCGAAGGCGGGCGTCTGGGCCATGGTGCTGAGCGTTCCGCAGAAGCTGTCCGGGTGGCCGCTGCCTTGGTGTCGGACCGCTTCCCCAGGACCCTCTGTGACCGCGGCCCGCCACGCTTCTCTTAAC